TTGACCTTGTAATCCACCCGCCTCGGCCTCCCAAAGTGCTGGGATTACAGGCTTGATCCACCGCACCTGGCCCAGTTTTTTTTTTTTTTAGACGGAGTTTCACTCTTGGTGCTTGGGCTGGAGTGCAATGGCACGATCTTGGCTCACTGAAACCTCTGCCTGCCAGGTTCAAGCGATTCTCCTGCCTCAGCCTCCCAGGTACCTGGGATTACAGGTACGCACCACCATGCCTGGCTAATTTTGTATTTGTAGTAGAGACGGGGTTTCTCCATGTTGATCAGTCTGGTCTCAAACTCCTGACCTCAGGTGATCTGCCTACCTCGGCCTCCCAAAGTGCTGGGATTACAGGTGTGAGCTGCTGCACCCAGCTTTTTTTTTGGATAGGGTCTCACTCTGTAGCCCACGCTGGCGTGCAGCGGTGCCATCTCAGCTCATTGCAGCCTCCGCCTCCTGGGCTCAGGTGATCCTCCACCTCAGCCTCCCGAGTAGTTGGGATTACTCAAGTGCACCACCACCCCCAGCTAATTTTTTTTTGAGATGGAGTTTCGCTCTTGTTACCCAGGCTGGAGTGCAATGGCACGATCTCCGCTCACCGCAACCTCCACCTCCTGGGTTCCGGCAATTCTCCTGCCTCAGCCTCCTGAGTAACTTGGATTACAGGCACGCGCTACCATGCCCAGCTAATTTTTTGTATTTTTTTAGTAGAGACGGGGTTTCACCATGTTGATCAGGATGGTCTTGATCTCTTGACCTCGTGATCTACCCACCTCGGCCTCCCAAAGTGCTGGGATTACAGCGTGAGCCACCGTGCCTGGCCTAATTTTTTTTTTTTTTAAGATGGGGTTTCCCCATGATGGCCAGGCTGGTCTTGAACTCCTGACCTCAGGTGATCCACCCACCTCGGCCTCCCAAAGTGCTAGGATTACAGGTGTGAGCCACTGCGCCCGGCACCCAGCTAATTTTTATATTTTTATTGGGGGGCGGCAGTTCACCATGTTGTCCAGGCTGGTCTTGAACTCCTGACCTCATGTGATTTGCCTGCCTCAGCCTCCCAAAGTGCTGGAGTTACAGGTGTGAACCACCACATCCAGCCAATTAGTGCCTTTATAGGAAGAGGAAGACAGAGAGAGGAAAGGAGGGAGAGAGGGAGAGAGACAGAGATGGGGGGTGTGTGGATCACCTGAGGTCAGTTGTTCAAGACCATCTCGGCCAACATGGCAAAATCCCATCTAGTAAAAATACAAAAATTAGCCGGGTGTGGTGACACATGCCTGTAATCCCTGCACCTTGGGAAGCTGAGGCAGGTGGATCGCTTGAGTCCAGGGGTTCATAACCAGCCTGACCAATATGATGAAACCCTGTCTCTGCTAAAAATACAAAAATCATAAAGAACAGTGATCTGGGAGACCAAAAAACAAGAAAGAAAGAAAAAGAAAGAAAGAAAGAAAGAAAGAAAGAAAGAAAGAAAGAAAGAAAGAAAGAAAGAAAGAGAAAGAAAGAAAGGAGGGAGGGAGGGAGGGAGGGAGGGAGGGAGGAAGGAAGGAAGGAAGGAAGGAAGGAAGGAAGGAAGGAAGGAAATAAATAAATAAATAAATAAATAAATAAATAAGCCAGGTGTGGTGGCTCATACCTGTAATCCCAGCTACCTGGGAGACCGAGGCAACGAGCCAAGATTGCACCACTGTACTCCAGCCTGAGCAACAGAGCGACACTCTGTCTCAAAAGGAAATAAATACATAAAATAAAAAGAGAGCGAGAGAAAGAGTGAAAGAGCTTGATCTTGCTGTCACCATAGGAGCACAGGGGGAAAGTCACGTAAGAACACAGAGAAGGGCAAGGCAGGAAGATAGCCTTCTTGAATTTTCTGGCAGCTTGCTCTTGGCTTTCCAGTCTCCAGAACTCTAAGTTTTGGTTGTTTAAACGACCCATCCTAAGGTGCCTTGTTATGGCAGCCTGAGCTGAGACCATCACTGTCACTCGTTATCAGTGGCCGCTGGGAACCCATCCAAGCTGGCTCTGGTGTCCTTTGAGTTTTCCTCCTCATCCCTTCGGCTTCTGTCACTTCTGGCACAAAATAGCCCTGGCTATTTTATGGTACTCTCCACATCTGGTACTCTCCACGGCCCAGCCCTGGAATCCGGCCCTTAACCAAAGAGCCTTGGTTCCTTTTATTTATTTGAGATGGAGTCTTGCTCTGTCACCAGGCTGGAGTGCAGTGGCACGATCTTGGCTCACTGCAACCTCCACTCCCAGGTTCAAGGGATTCTCCTGCCTCAGCCTCCCGAGTAGCTGGGACTACGGGCATGCGCCACCACGCCCGGCTAATTTTTGTATTTTTTTTTAGTAGAGACGGGGTTTCACCATGTTGGCCCAGATGGTCTTGATCTCTTGACCTTGTGATCCGCCTGCCTTGGCCTCCCAAAGTGCTGCAATTATAGGTGTGAGCTACCGCACTTGGTTAATTTTAATTTTTTTTTTTTTTTTTAGAAATTCTATGTTTATTTTCCATGTATCATATGTTGTTTAAGAGCCCACACAAGAACAGCTTAAGACCATTCAGTGATTGCTCCCACCCATTCAGTGGCCTCAGCAGCTCCACCCATTCAGTGGCCTCAGCAGTGGGAGCTGCAGACCAGTCTTCTGTGGCAGGCTGGGCGCTCCAGTCTTCAGTAGGGAACTGCTGGATAGGCACAGAGGGCACCTGCACGCCTTCAGACCAGTCGGCAACCTCCGGCTGAGTAGCAGTGAACTCAGGAGCTGCAGCAGTCCATTCGCCCTGAAATTCCTCCTTGGTCACAGCCTTTTCAGCAGCAGCCTGCTCTTCTTTTTCAGTGTCTTCAGGATCTCTGTAGAAGCAGAGATCAGGCATGACCTCCCACGGGTGTTCATGGGAAATGGTGCCACGCATCCGCAAAACTTCCCAAGCCAGCATCCACCACATCAAACCCACTGAGTGAGCTCCCTTGTTGTTGCATGGAATGGCAATGCCACATAGGACAGAGGAGAATCTGTTACACAGAGCAATGGTAGGTAGGTTAACATAAGACGCCTCTGTGAGAGGCTGGTGGTCAGCCCTGGGTCAGTAACCACAAGCAGCCGTGGCTCCCAGAAGGCTGCCTGGATCTGGTTGGTGAAGGTTCCAAGAGTAAAGCAGCCAGCAATTGGAGTGGCTCCAGTGGCGGCAGCAAACTTCAGCACAGCCCTCTGGCCAGTATTCCTGGAGGATATGACACTGACATCAGCAGGGTTTTCAATGGCAGCAATGGCACGAGCTGCCAGGAGAAGCTTCTCCCAGGTCCTCTTCAGATTTAGGATGTAGATGCCATCACTTTCCCTTTTATAGATATACTGCTCCATCTGGAAGTCAAGGTTGGTGCCACCTAAATGGGTTCCTACTGCCAGGAACTTAAGGACATCCTCCTGCTTCCTTTGCAGGACATAAGGGCTCCGGACATGGTGAAAGTTTCCCTTTAAGTAACGACGGGAATCCAGAACAATGCTGTATGGAGCCCTCGGCAGGCAGCACGGAAAACTAATTTTAATTTTTTAAGATGAAGTTTCGCTCTTTTGCCCAGGCTGGAGTGCAATGGCGGGATCCTGGCTCACTACAACCTCCACCTTCTGGTTTCAAGCGATTCTCTTGCCTCAGCCTCCCGAGTAGCTGGGATTACAGGAGCCCACCACCATGCCCGGCTGATTTTTTTGTCTTTTTAGTAGAGATGGGATTTCATCATGTTGGCCAGGCTGGTCTTGAACTCCTGACTTCAGTCTCCCAAGGTGCTCTGTCACCCAGGCTGAAGTGCAGTAGTGTGATCTCAGCTCACTGCAACCTCTACCTCCCAGGTTCAAGAGATTCTCCTGCTTCTGCCTCCCGAGTAGCTGGGACTACAGGTGTGTGCCATCATGCTGGCTAATTTTTGTATTTTTTTTTTTTCTAGAGACAGGGTTTTGTCATGTTGTCCAGGCTGGTCTTGAACTCCTGGGCTCAAGTGACCCACCCACCTCGGCCTCCCAAAGTGCTGGGATTACAAAAACCAGCCACTGGACACAACCAGATTCTACTCTTTATTGTTCCAAAGAACTTACCAGTTTATATAAGCCTGCTAGGACTGTCAGATTGGACAAGTGGGGTCTCTGGGAGGCAATTAGGTCATGAGGGTGGAGCCCTTATGAATGGGATTAGTGCCCTTATAATAAAAGGGACAGCACCCATCGAGATAGTTCATGCCTGTAAACCCAGCACTTTGGGAGGCCGAGGCAGGTGGATCACCTGAGGTCAGGAGTTCGAGACCAGCCTGGCCAACTTGACGAAACCCCATCTCTACTAAAAATACAAAAATTATCCAGGCGTGGTGGTGCGTGCCTGTAGTCCCAGCTACTCAGGAGACTGAGGTAGGAGAATTGGTAGAACCCGGGAGGCAGAGGTTGCAGTGAGCCAAGATCTTGACACTGTACTACAGCCTGAATGACAGAGTAAGACCCTGTCTCAAAAAAAAAAAAAAAAGGACTACAGAGAACTTCCTTGTCCCTCCCACCACGCAAGAACACAGGAGGAAGGTTCCATCTGTGGCCAAGAACGTGGCCCTCACCAGACACCAATCCACAGGAGCCTTGATCTGGACTTCCCAGCCTCCCCAACGGTGATACGTCAATTCCTGTCATTTATAAGCCACCCGGTCTGTTTTGTTACAGCAGCCCAAAGGCTTCAACATGGGAATCTAGGGGGGACACAACTTGTCTATTACAACTTCCCACCAGGCTTTCCATGGTGCATATTTCCTGTGTATCATACACCCTCCCAATCCCTACGTGTCAGCTCCTCACGCAGGGATCGCATCTCTGGGGCACTGTGGCATCCCGAGTTCCTAGAGGCGCAGCTGGAGGCCCTGGTACATAGGTGCAGAGGAAACGCTTGTGTCAGAGGAAGCTCCCATGGGGAAACTCACTCCCTCTCTTCCTACTCCTCAGACCTTGGGCAAGGAAAGTCGGAATCCCTGGGACCAGGTACAAACAGTTTATTTTTCTATAAAGAGCAAAGTACAAAGAGGCAGGGAGGGGAGCTGGGCCCAGAGGAGCAGCCCTGGGCAGGCCCCAGGCCCTGGCTATGGTGAGGACCCGCTGGCAGCTGCCCCAAGGGAGTACATGGGCCTCCAGCAGGCAGTGGAGGAAAAGCAGGAGCGTCAAGGAGGAAGCCCAGGCCCACTGCTGGGAGTCAGACAAAGCCAGGCTTCATGGATGAGCGGCGGCAGTTGGGGCAGCTCCGGGTCCCGTTGTTCTGCAGGCACCTGAGGAGGCAAAGGGCCCTGTCTGCTCTCCTGAGGCCTGTCCTTCCCTCCAGGCCCCGGGCCCCGTCTTCCTTCATCCCCCGCCCTCTGCAGGGGCTGGGACGCATCCTGGTGGCTGTTCAGCAGCAATGGAAGGGAAGGGATCGGTCCCCCCAGGCTCCCACTGCATCCGGCTTGCCCCTCTGTTCCTCTGTCCCAGGGACTTCCGGGAGCAGAGCATGGGCTGTGAGTTGAGAGGATGGGATGGAGCCAAACCCAGGGCAGGTCTGGCCCTGGGAGTCTGAACTAAGGGCCTTCGAGGGGCCTCTCTGATTTCTCTTTGGGGTTTATCATAAGAATGGTCACCTTTAGATGGGCTGCTGAGGGGATTCAATGAGTCAATATACAGGAAGTGCTGGGAGTGTGTGTGTGGGTTTTAACAGAGACAGGGTTTCGCCATGTTGGCCAGGCTGGTCTCAAATTTCTGGGCTCAAGTGATCCGCCCACCTCAGCCTCCCAAAGTGCTGGGATGACAGACATGAGCCACGGCGCTGGCCAAAGTAAGTATTTGGTATTAGTATTATTGCTGTGATTAGGCCAGGAGGGCCCTAGAGTGCCTCAAAGAGACCCGGCCCTCCACCCCTCTGCCCCCCTCCCCCCAGCCCCCATCCACCCTGCAGGAGGCCCGCACCTGAGGTGGAAGATGTGGGAGCAGGGCAGGGCTTGCAGCCGGCTGTTCTTCTCGCCTATGGACTCGCCGCACAGGCCGCAGTAGAGCTCCGTCTCCTCCACACACTCGTGGAAGCGCACCACGTGCGCCCGCAGTTCCCGCTGCAGCCCTTTGCTGCGGTAGATGCTCTCGCTCAGACAGTGCAGCTTGAGTTGGCTCAGCTGGGTCCCACAGGAGTGGAGAGCGGCAGCAGGGGACAAGAGCCAAGTCAGTGCAGGCAGACTCTACTCCCAGTCACTTCCCTGTCTTGCTGATGGACCTCAGAAAAATGTTCCTGCCCTCTCTGGCCCTCGCTTCCTTTCATGCAGAATGAGGGGGTGAGTGAGATCAGAGGTCTTCACCCCTGCAACTGCCTGAGGACCCCATGTTTTTGACAGATTTTATGACCAAACCTGGTGCACTGACTCCATAATAATTTGTGGCGAGGTTCCATGGCTCACGCCTAAAATCCCAGCACTTTGGGAGGCCAAGGCGGGCAGACGACCTGAAGTCAGGAGTTCGAGACCAGCCTGGCAAACATGGTCAAACCCCATGTTTAAAAAACAAAAAGCAGGCCGGGACCTGGGCGCTGTGGCTCAAGCCTGTAATCCCAGTAAAGTTGGGAGGCCGAGGCGGGTGGATCACGAGGTCAAGAGATCGAGACCATCCTGGCCAACATGCTGAAACCCCGTCTCTACTAAAAATACCAAAAATTAGCTGGGCATGGTGGCACGTGCCTGTAATCCCAGCTACTCGGGAGGCTGAGGCAGGAGAATTGCTTGAACCCAGGAGGCAGAGGTTGCGGTGAGCCGAGATTGTGCCATTGCACTCCAGCCTGGGTAACAAGAGCAAAACTCCGTCTCAAAAAAAATAAAGAAATAAAAATAAAAAACAAAAACAAAAAAAGAAATTCAGATCTGGAAGCCTTTGAGAAACGGTGAACCTGTTTTCAAGATTTTAAGGTTTGGAGAAGATCACTATGATTCATTTTTATTTTTTAATTTTTTTAGATGGAGTCTTGCTCTGTCACCCAGGCTAGGGTACAATGGCGGGATCTCGGCTCACTGCACCCTCCGCTTCCCAGGTTCAAGTCATTCTCCTGCCTCAGCCTCCCAAGTAGCTGGGATTACAGGCACCCACCACCACTCATGGCTAATTTTTGTATTTTTAGTAGAGATGGGGTTTCACCATGTTGGCCAGCCTGGGCTCAAACTCCTGACCTCAGGTGATCCGCCCACGTTGGCCCCCCAAAGTGCTGGGATTGCAGATGTGAGCCACTGCACCCGGCCTTGGTTTTGGTTTTTAGCCCATGCTAATTTTCTCTGTATTGTTCCAATTTCAGAATATGGGTTGCCGAAGTGAGCACTAGATACCATTATTAAATTTGGAACATGGGCTTTGTAGTTAAAACAGACAAGTTAGTAGTATGGGACCCTGGATGCCTCTTTGAGCCTTACTTTTCCTCATCTGTAAAATGGGGCTTGCTGTACCCACCCTGCAGGGAGAGAGTGAGGACTAGACCTAATACCTGTAAGGACCCGGTGTGAGCTCAGTGCTCAGGGAGTGGAGGCCACTGTTAGTAGTTTTTGTTTTGAGACGGGGTCTCACTCTGTCATCTAGGCTGGAGTGCAATGGAGCAATCACAGCTCACTGCAGCCTCAACCTCCTGGGCTCAAGCTATCCTCCCACCTCAGCCTCCCGAGTGGTTGGGATGACAGTTCTGTGCCACCATGCCCAGTTAATTTTTAAAACTTTTTGTTAGAGGCTGGGTGTGGTGGCTCACGCTTGTAATCTCAGCACTTTGGGAGGCTGAAGTGACTGGATCATCTGAGGTCAGGAGTTCAAGACCAGCCTGGCCAACATGGTGAAACCCCATCTCTACTAAAAATACAAAAATTAGTCAGGCATGGTAGCAGGTGCCTGTAATCCCAGCTACTCAAGAGGCTGAGGCAGGAGAATCACTTGAACCTGGGAGGTGGCAGTTGCAGTGAGCCTGGATTGCACTATTGCACTCCAGCCTGGGCAGCAACAGCAAAACTCCATCTCAAAAAAAAAATTTTTTTTTTTTTTAGATAGTGGTGGGATTATAGGTGTGAGCCACCGTGGTCAGCCTGCTGTTAGGAGTTTTTTTGTTTTTGTTTTTTTTGAGACGGAGTTTCGCTCTTGTTACCCGGGCTGGAGTGCAATGGCATGATCTCGGCTCACCGGAACCTCTGCCTCCTGGGTTCAGGCAATTCTCCTGCCTCAGCCTCCTGAGTAGCTGGGATTACAGGCACGTGCCACCATGCCCAGCTAATTTTTGGTATTTTTAGTAGAGACGGGGTTTCAGCATGTTGGCCAGGATGGTCTTGATCTCTTGACCTCGTGATCCACCTGCCTCAGCCTCCCAAAGTGCTGGGATTACAGGTGTGAGCCACCGCGCCTGGCTCCACTGTTAGGAGTTTTGATCAACATCGGGAAGCCTCTGAGGGATTCTCTATCCTCCAAGCTATGAAACTCCTGCCCTGCCCTCAGAAGTGTTCTCTGTGTGGCAGAGAAAGAGCCAGGGTCTGGGATGGCTGCAGCTCCCAGGATCAGGAAGGGCTCATGGCGTGAGCAGGCTCAGGAAGGCCCTTACCCAGACCCAAGTCCCCCAATTGGGCCCTTGACCCCAGACCCAGGACACAGCATCAACTCTGACCTTGTTCCCCACCTCCTCGGCCAGATCCTGGGCTCTCTCGATGGCGTCCAGAGCCTGAAAGGTGAGCACAGGCCAGGGCTGCGGGCAGGGCCCTCTGACAGAGGCCTTCCTCACAGGGAAGCACGGGGGAGGAGGGCGGACCTGGGGAGGCGACATGGCAGCAGGAAGAGACTGGAGCACAGTCACCATGGCCGTGTGGGCAAGGAACCTCCTGCCTCAGTTTACCTAGCAGTCTGGGTTCCAATCCCAGCTCCAGCCCTTTACTAGCTGTGGGTCCCAGGACAAGAGATGGGCCTTCTCTGAGCCTGGAAAATGACCAGGAGTGTTCTGGCCTCATGGGATCAGAGTGAGGCTGACGTCAGAGGAAGTGACTGAAAGAGCCAGCTAACCTACTGGCCCCAAGTGAGGAGTACTGGGAGGGCTGCAGGCCGTGGGAAAGGCCTGACCTCACCTTGTCCAGTGCCTTCCTGGCCACCCAGCACTTGGCCACACCCAGCAGTGCCTGCACCTGCCCCAGGCGGTTTCCGATCTCGGTCATGATGCTCATGGCGGAGTCATACCTGGGAAAGGCCGTCTGCAGAGCCAGGTGGGGGATGGAATCAGGCTGCAGCATGCCTGCACCACCGCCCCCTGCACCTCCAGCCCCTGCATCCCGGTGACCTGACCTCCAGGTCCCCACGGCTCCGGTGGATGTCAGCGAAGCAGAGTAGGCAGAGCGCCTGCAGTGGCCGGTCCCCATGCTGCAGTGCAATCTTCATAGACTCCTGCAGCGAAGGCCAGCGGCTCAGGCCTGCTCCTCGGCCGCCACCACTCTGCCCCACTCAGCGGGCCCCTCTAAAGGCACAGCCCAGGGGACCAACATCCTCAGAGCCTACTGCATCGATCATGATGCTGAGGCCTCACACACTGAACCACTGAAGTCACAGCACCCAGCGAGGTGGGTGGAAAGTGAGACTCACAAAGTGACTTGACTGAGGTCAGCCAGTAAGTGACAAAGCTGGGATATGAACCCAGGTTGTGGGACTCCAGAGACTGGCTCTCTCCCCTCCTGCTCTTCAAAGTACCCCATATTGGGTGTTGGGGACAGAGGGAAGTCCCCTCCCCTGCAGATGGACTGGAAGGGAGTGGGGTTTGGAATGAGGTTGGGGGCAAATGTTTCTTTCAGGGGCTCAGGTGTAGAGAGGCCGGGCCAGGGGCAAGCCCTGGGGAGCCCCCAGGGGTTGATTTGGAAGAAGGAGGCCCTGCTGTCCCAGGCCCCAGCCCCTGGCCCACACTACCTCACCCCACCCCACTGCTCCCTTGCCCAGTGCCCCACCTCACAACACTCCATGGCACTGCCCAGGTGGCCCAGCAGGCGATAGGCCACAGCCATGTGGTACTGGCTCATGGCCCGGTACTTCAGGCTCCAGCCTTTGCCATAGTCATTGACGAGCTCTGCGGCCTTGCAGGGGAAGAACAGGGCTTTCTCATAGTCCTGCAGGGGACATGGGATGGAAGGAGGCACACTGAGTGGCAGAGGCTGCCCCAAGTCAAGGGCTCCTGGGCCAGGCTTCTCCAACAGCAGGTAGGGGTCAGGGGACCCTATTGTCTGTTCATTCATTGTGGCATCCAGAATAAGAGTGACCCAGGCTGTCTGGACACAGTGGCTCACGCCTGTAATTCCAGCACTTTGGGAGGCAGATGTGGGCGGATCACAAGGTCAGGCGTTCAAGACCATCCTTGCCAACATGGTGAAACCCCGTCTCTACTAAAGATACAAAAAATTAGCCAGGCATGGTGGCAGACACATGTAGTCCCAGCTACTCAGGAAGCTGAGGCAGAAGAATTGTTTGAACCTGGGAGGCAGAGGTTGCAGTGAGCTGAGATCGCTCCATTGCACTACTGCCTGGGGGACAGGGGATACTCTGTCTGAAAAAAAAAAAAAGAGGGAACCCAGGTAGAGGGAACAGCCGGTGCAAAGGTGTGCGCTCCGTGGATGCACAGATTTTCATCTGGTTTGTGACACATCCCAAGAGCCTAGCACAGTTCTTGGCACTTGGTAGATGCACAAGAAATATTTGTTGAGTGAATGGATGAAAAAGCAAGAAAATACAGTTGGCTTCTCTTTTCTCCCAATGCCAAATGGGCTCCTCAGCTTCAGAGACGCGCAGGGACGGGGGGACACCAGATCCCTCCACTAGAGCTTGCCTGCTGGCACCCGGAAGCAGGTGTTCACTGAAGCTCAGCGCAGATTGGCAGCACAGCAGGCTCAGAAGAACATCAGACAGACAGCAGGTGATGCAACTCTGCTCGTTCTTTGTCCTCAAGCTTCCAAATGCCTTTTCTACCTGGCCACAGTCAGCTCATGGACTACCTCATCACTCCACGAGGGAAAGGAAGAAAACCAGGGAGAAGCTCCTTCCCCTCCTGTCTCCACCAGGTCTCCCACCTCCGCACCTCTGCTCCCACGCTTTCTTTTCCTGTCACTGTGGAGGACGGCTCCTGTTCGCATCAAATGCCAGCCCCCCACAAGCAGTCTCTGCATCATCAAGTTCTCTCTTTCTACTGAATCGTTCCCAGCCACGTGCAAACACGTCTGGCATTTCTCATCTCATTTAAAAAAGAAAAACTGGGCCGGGCATGGTGGCTCACGCCTGGAATCCCAGCACTTTGGGAGGCTGAGACAGGAGGATCACTTTAGCCCAGGGGCTGGAGATCAGCCTGGCAACATGGGGAGACCCTGTCTCTACAGAGATAAAGTTAGCTGTGCATGGTGGTGCACACCTGTAGTCCCAGCTACTCGAGAGGCTGAGATGGGAGGATCACTTGAGCACAGCAGTCGAGGACAGTGAGCTGAGATTGCACCACTACACTCCAGCCTGGGTGACAGACAGATCCTGTCTCATAAAAAAAAAAAAAAAAAAAAGGAAAGAAAAAAGAAAACTAACCAATCTTCTCTTGACCTCATTTCCCTTCAGCTAATGCTCCATTTCACTGTTCTTTTTCAAGCCAAATCTATTTGATCTTTCACTTAATATTTAACAAGCAGAGAAACTACATGACCAAAAGAGGACTGTCAATAACCTCAGTAAAAACCTTTCTTTTATACGCCTTATCATATACTTTAAAGTTTGAAGCCATATACATGTTTTACAGGTTAAAAAAATTAAATTTAATTTAAAGAATACCTAAAAATAGAAAATGGAGGTGAGGTGCAGTGGTTCATGCCTATAATCCCAGTACTTGGGGAAGCTGAGTTGGGAGAATTGCTTGAGGCCAGGAGTTCAATATCATCCTGGGCAACATTGCAAGACCGCTGTCTCTACAAAAAATTTAAAAATTAGCCAGACGTGGAAGAATGTGCCTGCAGTCCCAGCTACTGAGGAGGCTGAGGAGGGAGAATCGATTGAACACAGGAGTTTTAGGTTACAGTGATCTGTGATTGAGTCACTGCACTCCAGACTGGGTGACAGAGCAAGACCCTGTCTCAAAAAAAAAAAAAGGCCAGGCGTGGTGGCTCATGACTGTAATCCCAGCACTTTGGGAGGCCAAGGCAGGTGGATCAGCTGAGGTCAGGAGTTCGAGATCAGCCTGGCCACCATGGTGAAACCCTGTTTCTACTAAAAATATAAAAATTAGCTGGGTGTGGTGGCGGGCACCTGTAATCCCAGCTGTTCGGGAGGCTGAGGCAGGATAATCGTTTGAACCCAGGAGGCACAGGTTGCAATGAGCCAAGATGTGTCACTGCACTCCAACCTGGGTGACAAGAGCAAAACTCCACCCCTGCTCCCCAACAGAAATACCCAGGGTTGCCCAGTGTGGTGACTCATGCCTGTAATCCCAGCAGTTTGGGAGGCCGAGGCAGGCAGATCATAAGGTCAAGAGATCGAGACCATCCTGGCCAACATAATGAAACCCCGTCTCTACTAAAATATAAAAATTAGCTGGGCATGGTGGCACATATCTGTAGTCCCAGCCACTCTGGAGGCTGAGGCAGGAGAATTGCTTGAACCCAGGAGGCGGGGAGGTTGCAGTGAGCCGAGATCGAGCCACTGCACTCCAGTCTGGCGCCTGGCGACACAGTGAGACTCTGTCTCAGAAAAAAAATTACCCAGGGTCGGAACCTCCAATCACTGACCCTGTCAATTCCTTCATAGTTGTTCTTCCTTCTCTCACCTCTCTACCTATGTACACACCTGAGACATGCCTGGTGGCCATGTTGTCCTTCCTGGAACATTCCAGGTGTGCTCCCCCAGGGTCCAGCTTGGCTTTAGGGGTTCCCGCAATTTTGCCTAGAATGTTCTCTCACCAGATTTCTGCATGACGCACCTTCTCATCTTTAAGCCATCAAACATCACCTCCGTGAGGCCCTCTGACCACCATGTTGAAATTATGACGCCCCCACGCCCGGTGCTGTGAGCCCCTCACCCTGCTTTGCTTTCTCCTAGCCACTCGACTTCCTAACTGTGTTGATCGTCTTTCTTCCCCAACTAGAATGCAACCCTCATGAGGATGGGGACTTGGCTGTTCTTCTCACTGTTGGCCCAAGACTGGGCCAACAGTATTGGGATATAGCAGATGCTCAGTAAATATTTGGTGACTGAATCCATACAACTCCACTGTAAGGCGAGTCCTGTTCTCCTTCAATTTGCAGATATCTTTCATAAGGTTCAGAGAGGAGAGGTGGCTTGCCCAAGACCACACAGCCCACAGGGGAGGCTGCTGGCCTGTCCTCACCCAGGAGCCTCCCATGATTCCTGCAGGAAGTCAGACACATTAAGGTTTGAATCCTGGCTCTGCCCTTGCTGGTTTCCTGGCCAAATTGTTACCTTCCTGGATAAGCCTTGCCCCTCTCTGATTCTCACTGGCCTCATCCCTCCCTAAAAGAAAGGAACCCTAGTGCCACAGGGTGTGTGCCTCATGAGAGGGGACCCCCAAAGCCCTCCACTGCCGTCCCCCCGGGGCACAGGCCCACCTTGACCTGGGCGTAGAAGCTTCCCAGGCTGCAGCACACACGGCACTCCAGCATGGCGTCGTCGTTGTTGTGGGCGTAGCGCAGGGCCTTCTCGAAGCTCTCCAGGGCCTTCTGGAAGACGCTGAGGCCCAGGAAGGCATTGCCCATGCTCAGGCTGACCTGGCCTCCGAGCTGGGCACCTGCCCTGGTGCCAGGCAGCCCCAGGCAGGTCTTGCAGTAGGAGATAGTCTTGTGAAACTCGCACAGCTTCTCGTTGCTGCGCGCCAGGTTCAGGTAGCTCTCCAGGAGGAAGTCGGCATCCTCCAGCTCCCGGGCCGTGTCGATCTGGACCACAGCGAACTGCGCACCACGCGGTGGGCAGGTGGCGCTCAGCCTGGACTCTGAGCCTTGGACCGCAGCCCGCGCTACAGGCTCAGATCTGGAGGCTCCACCCCCGCCCCCCAGCCTCACACCCAAAGCAGCATCGCCCAAAGCTTCAGACCCAGAGCTTCTACCCGCCGGCCTCCGCTATCTTCCCCACATCCCGGCCTCACCTCCCAAGCTCAGGCTCGGAGCGTTCGCCCTCTACCCCAAGCCTCAGGTCTCCACCACCCACCTACCCCCAGCTTCAGCCGTGGAGTCCACACCCCCACCAGGCTCAGATACAGAACACCAGACAGGAAGGCTGAAATCTACACTGGCCTTGAGACCCACGAACCCTGGACCCTGAGGCCGGAAAACCTCAGTCTCAGAGTCTTGGGCTGCAGTTCAAGGCCACAGGCCTGAATCTGATGCCGGGACTCAGTATCTAAGACCCAGGGACTTAGGTGTAAGTAGATTCAGAGACTTGGGCCCCAGCGGCCAGCATGGGGGACACACAGGAGCCTGAAAAGGCCAAGAGGGGACTGGGGAGCCCGGGAGGAATGGAGCCTCAGCCTGACCCTCGCATGCCTCTGGACCAGGTACACCCACCTTCAGCATCTCCTTGTAGCGGCCCATCTCTGAGTGGGCCGTGACCAGGCAGCCCAGCACGCGGAAGCGCCCCATGAGGTCCGAGCTCTTCTCCAGCACCTTCATCCACACCTCCAGTGCCTTCTCTGTCTGGTTGGACTGGTACAGCTGGAGCCCCTTCTCAATCTGCTGCTTGGTCTGGTCCTGCCCCATCCTCCCCAAGCCCTGTGCTCCACGTGGGGTGACCCCTGGTGGCTCTGTGCCTCTAGGCACTCATGGCACAGGACTCAGAGTGCCGGCTGCCCCCTGAACCCAGGAACAAAAGCAGTATTGGGTGGGAGCCGGAGCGGGGCCTGGATGGAGAGCAGGCGCCACCCCGGGAACAAAGCTGGTTCAGCCCCTGTCCGCAGCTGTCCCTGCCAGTTGGGGCCACGTGGCCTCTGAGGAATGTCAGCAGCAAGGTCACGCAGGCCTCTGCCGCACCCACCCACGAGCTGGGAGGTGGCTTCTCTGAGCATAGAGGCATCATGCCACCTGGGCACCCCGTTGGGCGTCCCTTCTGAACCTCTGACACTGGCCCTGAACGCCCTGGCAGCACGGGCCCTCCCAGCAGCCTCACCAAGGGGCCAGCTCCAGCAATGGACAGGCCTGGGGCCAGAGGTGCTTGGGAGAAGCAGAGCGAGGGTGGACCTGCAGGGCTGGAGAAGCCTGGTGAGCGCCCAGCCTGGCTGGATGTCATCACTGGACTGTGATGAGAACTCAATGACTAATGCGTTGACAAGGACTTAGGACAGCCCACATGTGCTGCCGCAGGCTCTGTGTCGGATGCCTGGCAGGGCCAGAGCCCAGCCCTTGAAGTTTCAGTTACGGATCTCAATTCCAATCCCAACCCCAGTTTGAAAGGGTCCCCATAATGAGCTTTAATACCAAGTAGTGGAGAAGGGCAACGTCTTATGTAGTATGGCCCCCCCGCCCTCACCCCCGCCAAGCAGGCCAGCTCATCCCTACTGGTTTCTCTCTCTGCATTCCAGCCTTCTTCCTGCCTCAGGGCAAAGTTCATCCTTTCTGGCTGGGCAATTCAGTGGTTTCTTAGTATATTCACGAAGATGCGCATTAATTCCAGAACATTTGAATCACCCAAAAAGGAGACGCATACCCATCGGCAGTTACACCACTCCATTCAGCATGTTGGTATGGCTCCATTCCGCATGTTGGTATGGCTCCATTCCCCATGTTGGTATGGCTCCATTCCGCATGTTGGTATGGTTCCATTCCCCATGTTGGTATGGCTCCATTCCGCATGTTGGTATGGTTCCATTCCCCATGTTGGTATGGCTGAATCACGTCCCCCCAACCAAACGCATATGTTTAACTCCTAACTCTCAGTGTCTCAAAATGTGATTGTGTTTGGAGAAGGGTCTTTAAAGGGGTAACTGAGGTAAAATGAAGTCATATGGTACCTCATCCAGTAAGACTGGTGTCGCCCCACATTTTTTTGAGACAGGGTCTCAATCTGTCACCTAGGCTGGTGGGTACAGTGGTAAGTGCAGTGGCGCAGTCTAAGAGAACTGCAACCTCTATCTCCTAGGCTCAAGTGATCCTCCCACCTCAGTCTCCTGAGTAGCTGAGACCACATCTGGCTAATTTTTTGTAGAGATAGGTTTCACCATGTTGCCCAGGCTGGTCTTGAACTCCTGGAGATGGAGGCTGTAGTGAGTCGTGACTGCACCACTGTACTCCAGCCTAAGCAACAGAGAAAGACCCTGTCTCGAAAACAAAAACAAATAAATAATAAATTTTTATTTTAAAAAATTATGTTATTTTATTTTTGAGATGGAGTTTTGCTTTTGTTGCCCAGGCTGGAGTGCAATAGCACAATCTCAGCTCACTGCGACCTCCACCTCCTGGGTTCAAGAGATTCTCCTGCCTCCATCTCTCAAGTAGCTGGGATCACAGGCATCCACCACGCCTGGCTAATTTTTTGTGTTTAGTAGAGACAGGGTTTCACCATGTTTGTCAGGCTGGTCTCGAACTCCTGACCTCAGGTGATCCACCTGCCTTGGCTTCCCAAAGTGCTTGGATTACAGGTGTGAGCCACCATGGCTGGCCATGATAATTTTTCTTTTATGGCAGAGTCTGCTCTGTCATCCAGGCTAGAGTGCAGTTGCGCGATCTCAGCTCACTGCCACCTCCACCTCCCGGGTTCGAGCGATTCTCCTACCTCAGCCTCCTGAGCAGCTGGGACTACAGGCATGCGACACCACGCCCAGCTAGTTTTTGTATTTTCAGTAGAGACAGGGTTTCACCATGTTAGCCAGGATGGTCTCAATCTCTTGACCTCGTCATCTGCCCACCTCAGCCTCCAAAAGTGTTGGGATTACAGGTGTGAGCCACTGTGCTCAGCCACAGTAAATTTTTAAAAAGGACACAGTCACATAGAAGTAGAGCACGTGAAGACACAGGGTGAATATGACTATCTACAAGCCCAGGAGCAAGGCCTCAGAATGAAACCAACTCTGCCAATCCCTTGATCTTGGACTTAGCCTCCAGAACTGTGAGAAAATAAATTTCCTATGTTTAAGCCACCCAGTCTACGGACCTGTCTGTTGTGGACCCTTCACAGGAATGGAATCATACAATATGTGGGCATCTGTGACTGGCTTTTTTAACTTAGCATAATGTTTTCAAGATTCATCTATGTTTTCAACCATATCAAAACTTCAGGTTGGGCATGGTGGCTCATACCTGTAATCCCAGCACTTTGGGAGGCCAAGGCAAGTGGATCAACTAAGGTCAGGAGTTCAAGACCAGCCTGACCAACATGGAGAAACCCTGTCTCTAATAAAAACACAAAATATTAGCTAGGCATGGTGGTGCATGCCTATAATCCCAGATATGAGGCTGAAGTAGAGGAATCGCTGGAACCTGGGAGGTGGAGGCTGTGGTGAGCCCAGATCTCGACACTGCACTCCAGCCTGGGCAATGAGAAGAAACTCCATCATAAAGAAAAAAAAAACTTCACATTACTTTTTGCAGTTGGTTAATACTTGTTGTCTAGATATATTTTTTTGGTTCATCGGTTGATGGGCATTTGGGTTGTTTCATTTTTGGCTATTATGAATTAATGATGCTCTAAAAATTCATGTACAAGTTGGGCCGGGCACAGTGACTCACGCCTGTAATCCCACACATCAGGAGGTTGAAGCAGGCAGATCGCTTGAGCCTAGGAGTTGCAGACAAGCCTGGGAAGCATAGTGAGACTAGTGAGACCCTGTCTCTACAAAAAATACAAAAAAAAATTAGCTGGGTGTGGTGGTACACAGCTGTGGTTGCAGCTACTTCGGAGGCTGAGGCAGGAAATCACTTGAGCCTGGGAGCTCAAACTGCAGTGAGCCACCATTGTGACACTACACTCCAACCTGGGTGACAGTGTGAGATCTTGTCACAAAAAATAAAAATAAAAAATTCACGTGCAAGGATTTTTTTTTTTTTTGAGATGGACTCTCACTCTGTTGCCCAGGCTTGAGTGTAATGGTGTGATCTCGGCTCACTGCAACTTCTGCCTCCTGGATTCAAGTGATTCTCTTGCCTCAGGCCCCCGAGTAGCTGGCATTTCAGCCTACCGAATAGCTGGGATTATAGGTGCCCCTCACTATGCCCGGCTAATTTTTGTATTTTTAGTAGAGACAGGGTTTCACCATGTTGGCCAGGATGGTCTCAATCTCTTGACCTTGTGATCCATCCACCTCAGCCTCCCAAAGTGCTGGAATTACAGGCGTGAGCCACCACACCCGGCCACGTGCAAGGTTTTATGGGGACATGTTTTCATTTCTCTTAGGTATATACTTGGAGTGGAAGTGTTGGGTAATACGGTAACTGTTACATTCTGGTAACTGTTAGGTTCAACTTTTTGAGGACCTGCCTACCTGTTTGCCCCAGGGCCTTTGCACCTCCTAATTCCCTCTCTGCTCCCCACATCCACACTCTGCCTCATAAATCATAATTAGGATGAATCAATATCCTCTCACTGAATTACACTGCTTTCTGATGCAATACTCATCTCTATAGTTTTACTTTGAGACAGGGTCTCATTTTTGTCACCCAGGCTGGAATGCAGTGGCACAGTCAGTCTAGGCTCACTGAGGCCTTGACATCCTGGGCTCAAGCCACCCTCCCGCCTCAGCCCCTGAAAATAGCTGGGATTACAGGTGTGTGCCACCACGCCCAGCTAATTTTTATATTTTTAGTAGAGATGGGGTTTCACTATGTTGACCACTGCTCTCGAACTCCTGTGCTCAAGTGATCCACTGGCCTCATCCTCCCAAAGTACTGGAATTACAGGCGTGAGCCACCATGCCCCAACTCTATAATTTTATATTTGTAAGGTTGTTTGCTGAATGTCTTTACTCCTCACTCAAATTAGACCATATGGCTGGGTCCTAATGCAGGGCAGGACGTTGTCTCCTTCACCACTGACTGTATTCCCAGAGCAAGGGCCAGTATACTGTGGCCCCTCAATAAAGATGTCAAATATTGGTGAATGGGGAAGAAGAGGAGGAAAGACAGCTTCACTGGGCAATTCAGGGCAACTGCTGCAGGTTCAGGGGATCTGCCCCAGCCTGCACCCTCCTGGGGAAACAGCACAGGCAGACATGATCTGCTTCCTGAGAGCCCAATGGGTCAGAAGGCAAATACCCTGCTGAGGGCTCTAGGCCGCAGGCTCAGCAGAGGCAGAGCAGGTGTGGAAGCAGGCCCTGGGACAGGTGGCTATGCAAGGCCACTTGGACTCTCCACAGGAGTCCTCCTAGGCCTGGGAAAGGGAGGGAGAGCTGGCTGGGGTCTTCTCTCCTCTCAGGGAGACCTGGGTTGATGCTGAACTGGAATGTGAGGGAAGCTGGGCCCACAGGGAAGGTGTGAAGGGCCAGCAGGTTCTCCCCACTCCAGGGCCCAGACACTGTTAACATCAAGTCTCTGGCAGAAGGAATGGAGGAAGGGCAGCCTGCGCCTACACCCCAGTGGAGTCAGGGAGCACAGTCTTCCTCTTTCCTGGGGAACTCAAATGACCTCAGAACTTGAAAACTTGACGGGATCAAGGTGCCCTTTCCCTGAGGCAGCTCTTTGCTCATCTGACTTTAGTGATGGGAATATGCCATACTTGCTTGTTCTAGGTAGCAGAGTACCTTATGTTTCCTTCACAAATTTCCTTTTTTTTTTTTTTTTTTTCTTTTGTAAGATGGAGTTTTTCACTAGTCGCCCAGGCAGGCTGGAGTGCAGTGGTGCGATCTCAGCTCACTGCAACCTCCACCTCCCAGGTTTAAGCAATTCTCCTGCCTCAGCCTCCAGAGTAATTATAGGTGAGCACTATCACAACTGACTAATTTTTGCATTTTTAATAGAGACAGTGTTTCACCATGTTGGCCAGGCTGGTCTCGAACTCCTGGCCTTAAGTGATCTGCCCGCCTCAGTCTCCCCAAATGCTGGGATTACAGGTGTGAACCACCATGCCCAGCCTCAGAAATTTCATTTCTGAGTACATTTTCCAGAAATCAGCTATTGTGGTTAGGTTAAGGGCATGCTCCACTGCACCAAGGGCTGCGGTTTGTCTTTGTAGTACTAGTAATTAACTGCACAGCGCCTGGCAATGTAAGAGGAGGCCAACAGAAGAATCCTAACATTTTCTGAGTTAAGCATTTCTTTCAGTTTACAGATACAGAAACGGAGGCATGGAGAGGTAAGGTGACCTTCCCAAGACTACACTGCCATCTGCTGGTCCCAGACAGCTGGGACCAGAAGCCGTGAGCCTGTAGGAGTCTGTTTATGGTTTTTTGTTTTTTGTTTTTTTTTTTCTCGCTCTGTCGCCAGGCTGGAGTGCAGTGGCACAATCTCACTGCAACCTCTGCCTCCTAGGTTCAAGTGATTTTTGTGCCTCAGCCTCCTGAGTAGCTGGGATTACAGGGCGTGCCACCACGCCCAGCTATTTTTTTTTAATTTTTTGTATTTTTAGTAGATATGGGGTTTCACCATGCTGGCCAGGTGGGTCTTGAACTCCTGACCTCAGATGATCACCTGCCTCGGCTTACCAAAGTGCTGGGATTACAGGCATAAGCCACTACGCCTGGCCAGGAGCCCCATTCTTAACCATTAGATAGTCCCAGATAAAAGAGGACAAGGGAAATGGAGGAAGTGGAGAAAAGAACAATAGTTTTCAGAAATCCATTGTGATCTTTAGCCAACACATAGCAAAGTCACTGGGAATTATCCAAAGCTGTAGCCTGGGTGGGCAGAAGAAGTGTATTAAGAATAGGGTAAAGAGTCAAGACTTGCTCACCAATGGCCAGTGGACAAAATGCCCCTGGAAGGTGTGGGGAGGAGCCACAAAATGAAATGGTCTTTTCAGGGCCATTTAACCTCATAAGGTGGTGGGACAGTCAGGAAATTCAGGAGTCTCACCAAGGTGCCTGCTGTGCCAGGTACCAGCTGCACACCTCATATTTTAGATCCCTGTTTTATAATCAAAAGTAGAGGCCGGGTGCGGTGGCTCACGCCTATAATCCCAGCACTTTGGGAGGCCAAGGCAGGTAGATCACGAGGTCAAGAGATGGAGACCATCCTGGTCAACAAGGTGAAACTCCGTCTCTACTAAAAATACAAAAATTAGCTGGGCATGGTGGTATGCGCCTATAGTCCCAGCTACTCGGGAGGCTGAGGCAGGAGAATTGCTTGAACCCAGAAGGCGGAGGTCGTGGTGAGCCGACATCGCGCCATTGCACTCCAGTCTGGGTAACAACAGTGAGACTCCGTCTCAAAAACATAATAAAAAAATATATAATCAAAAGTAGAAATAAAGTTTGGGCCTGAAGCAAGAGTCAAACAATATGAGATGTGAAGATAGTATTTCTGAGTTGGTTGGCAACATTGGTTATCTGGGATATTTTATACAAAAATCTGCATTTCCTGCTTCTCTTCAAGCGTGGAAGCTCGGCTGGGTGCAGTGGCCTATAATCCCAGTACTTTGGGAGGCTGAGACGGGTGGATCACCTGAACTCAAGAGTTCGAGATCAGCCTGGCCAACATGATGAAACCTCATCTCCATGGAAAATACAAAAAATTAGCCAGGCATGGTGACAGGTGCCTGTAGTCTCAGCTACACGGGAGGCAGAGACACGAGAATCGCTTGAACCTGGGAGGTGGAGGTTGCAGTGAGCTGAGATCATGCCATTGTACTCCAGCCTGGGTGATGAGAATGAACTTTGTCTCAAAAAAAAAAAAAAAAAAAAAAGAAGTGGAAGGGTGGGTGAGGTGGCTCATGCCTGTAATCCCAGCATTTTGGGAGGCCGAGGCAGGTGGATCACTTGAGGTCGGGAGTTCGAGACCAGCCTGACCAACATGTAGAAACCCTGTCTCTACTAAAAATACAAAATTAGCCAGGCATTGTGTGCATGCCTGTAATCCCAGCTACTCGGGAGATTGAGGCAGGAGAATCACTTGAACCCAGAATGGAGGTTGCGGTGAGCCAAGATCATGCCATTGCAGTCCAGACTGGGCAACAAGAGTGAAGCTCCGTCTCCAAAAAAAAAAAAAAAAGTGGAAAGTCACACATGCTCAGACCTTCATTCTGTTTACCAGTCAAGTGGTTGGGATCTGGCCCCAAGAGATCATGAATGTTTTACCAATTCATTCATTGGGACCATGCACCTCCCTGACTTCCCTGTTCTCACCTTGACATTGAAGCCAAATGCCACTCATTTTTTTTGAGATGGGGATTTGCTCTTGTTGCCCAGGCTGCGATCTTGCTGAGATCGTGGCTCACTGCAACCTTTGCCTCCCGGGTTCAAGCGATTCTCCTGCCTCAGCCTCCTGAGTAGGATTACAGGCACATGCCACCACATCCAGCTAATTTTTGTATTTTTAGTAGAGATGGCGTTTCTCCATGTTGGTCGGGCTGGTCTTGAACTCCCGACCTCAGGTCATCCGCCCACCTCAGCCTCACAAAGTGCTGGGATTACAGGTGTGAGCCTCTGTGCCCGGCCTGCCACTTGTCTTATGCTGGCCTCCTTTCACACGAGTACATCAGAATTGCAACCCCTACTCCAGATGCATGACGGATGTAACTGGAGGGGACAGTCCCAGACTCTCTCTACCAGGACCATCAGAATTCTTGGGAAGTTTCCCCGTTACCAAGTTAGTTTTCCCAATTAAAAAGATAGCAAGTTTTCCATGAAAATCAAATGAACTCGCTTTGAAAAGAAACCATTGAACAAACATCCCTCTATTGGCTTATTATTTATGATATTCCAAAACTAGAAAGAATCTGTGTCTGACAGAAGGATGGTTGATAAACCACGAAATCTTCTGTAGACTCTAAGCAAGGAAGCAGTAGATACCTGTATAACCAGATGTAATGGAGCCCACGGCATAGTAACTTAAAAAAGCAAGCTGCAGGCTGGGCGTGGTGGCTTATGCCTGTAATCACAGCACTTCTGGAGGCCAAGGCAGGTGGATCACCTGAGGTCAGGAGTTCAAGACCAGCCCGACCAACATGGTGAAACCCAGTCTCTAATAAATATAAAAAATGAGCCAGGCATGGTGGTGCATGGCTGTAATCCCAGCTAGTTGGGAGGCTGAGGCAGATCACTTGAACCCAGGAGGCGGAGGTTGCAGTAAGCCAAGATTGTGCCATTGCACTCCAGCCTGGGCAACAAGAGAGAGACTCTGTCCCCACCCCCACTAAAAAAAAAAAAAAAAGGCGGCAGAACCTTCTGTATATTATGGTGTAATCATTTTTTTTTTTTGAAACAGCGTCTAGCTGTTACCCAGGCTGGAGTGCAGAGGTGTGATCATAGTTCACTGCAGCCTCAACTTCTCCGGCTTGAGCAATCCTCCTGCTTCAGCCTCCCAAGAAGCTGGGACTACAGGTGTGTGCTACCACACCTGGCTTTTTTTTTTTTTTTTTTTTTGTAGAGACATGGTTTCTCCATGTTGGTCAGGCTGGTCTCGAACTCCCGACCTCAGGTGATCATCCGCCTCAGCCTCCCAAAGTGCTGGGATTACAGGCGTGAGCCACTGTGCCTGGCCACCTGGCTGATTTTTAAAAATTTTTGTAGAGACAGGTCTCTGTTGCCCAGGCTGGTCTCAAACTCCTGGGTTCAAGTAATCCTCCTACCTTGGCCTCCCGAAGTGCTGGGATTATAGGCATAGCCTCAGCCACCACACTCAGCATGATCAAAACATCTCATTTTTATTAACAAAAATTATGTACTTATTTTTTGTGTTTATAAGGAAAAATCCTGGAAGCATATGACCCCTCCTGTTATCAGTGGGCTGTGGGACAGGGCATTGGCTCACTTTATGGCTTTTTTTGTTTTGTTTTTTGAGATAGAGTCTTGCTGTCACCCAGGCTAGAGTGCCGTGGCTCGATCTTGGCTCACAGAAACCTCTGCCTCCCACAGAGAGAATTGCTCCCTCAAGCAATTCTCTTGCCTCAGCCTCCTGAGTAGCTGGTATTACAGGCACCTGCCACTGCGCCCAGCTAATTTTTGTATTTTTAGTAGGGACAGGGTTTAACCATCTTGGCCAGGCTGGTCTCGAACTCCTGACCTCGTGATCCACCCACCTTGGCTTTAAAGTTCTGGGATTACAGGCGTGAGCCACTGCACCTGGCATACTGTTACTAGCAACTTTAATGTGTGCTTGCCAGGGGCAGTAGCTTGGCTATTTGTGAATTTATTATTTTCGCAGAGACAGAGTCTCACTATGTTTCCCAGGCCGGTTTTGAACACTTGAACTCAAGCAATCCTCCCCTCTTGGTCTCCCAAAGCGCTGGGATTACAGGCATAAGCCACCACACTGGGCCGCTTTGGCTAGTTTTTTAGACAACCTCTCATCTAAACAGGGCAGGTGCTTCTGTTTGCATTTAACAGATAAACAATCTGGGGCTGAGAATCAAGTAATTTGTCCAAGGTCACAGGGCTGTTGATGGTAGAGCTGGTATTATAGGATTAGGGAATCCTTAAAACAAGATTTTGCTAACATACTCCAAGTCTTTATG